TCTCTCCATTGTGTGCCATGTCCCTGTTAAAAGGCCGCATCACTCTGCCTTGCACTGTGCGGCCTCCGCATTCTGTCTTTGAATTAAGGTAACCTGGCAGATGTCTGGTGGCTCAGTAGGGGAAAGGGCACCTTTATCACCCTGTCCCAGCCCCAGGCACCCCTCAGGAGCCTTGTTGAGAGACATAGCTTTCAGATGAAAAGGTGTCTGTAAAAGACTGACAGGAGCTGCTTAGGCCAGATGACCTTTAAAGATCTTTTCCAGTTCTGAAATTCTAAGATTCCAAAATTGTGTGCAGCCCCCCAAACAATGCCATTTGAAGAAGAGCAGACATAACTGAAGATATGTATGACTCAGAGGAGGCATTAGAGCTTCCTTTAAGAGCCTTGGAATACAGAAATGAAGAAGAGAGATTAGTTTTAGTATCTGTGGCCTCAGAAGGCAGAAATTTTGGCTGGAGTTTTATCACAGGATGGGAGCTTATAGTTGGGATAGAAAAGGAACCTCGATTTAGCATCGAGGGCCCCAAGTGTAAAGGGTGAACACCTGGTTTTGAATCCTGACAACTACTGACTGTCATGTGACCCTGGGCTACCTTATCTAACTGAACCTCTGTTTTCTCCTGGGTCACATGGCGATGGTAAGATTGAGCTTGCTTCTACTGTTGGGGCTATTGTGCGGATCAAATAGGATAAGGAAAAGTGCTTATAAATTCTGAAGTTCTACAGATTTAATCTTATTGTCCAGACCCCTAATTTTATGCAGTAAATAACCAAAGTCTAGAGAAGTTAAGAAACTCACGGGAGACTACAATACTGTTCTAAGGCAGTAGCTGATAATACCTCACAGATAACTATATTCCTGGAAACCCTGGGGTAAAAGGCTTTTGTGGGACCTTGGGGCCATAGTGCAGCCCCAACTTCCCAGTGGGGTTTCATCTCACTCTTAATTTTATTTTCTGATTATAAAAATGGTACATGCTCACTGTATGAAAATTGTGGAATACCATAAGCACAAAAAAGAAAACTTTAAAACATTTCCCATGATTCTCCTATGTGGCTATATTCAGTGTTGAAATTTTGCTATATTCCTTTTTAGTCTTTTTGCTATGCATATACATATTTGAATATAATAGGAATAATATTTTGTGCAAAGCTTTGCATATTGATTTTTTTCACCTAACGGTTTGTTATGCACTTTGCTATTAAAATTCATTGAGCAGTGTTAATGCTTACGTAATGGTTTACTGTATGATTACGTTGAATACCAAAGTTCCTCCCTAATTTTTTGTTATTATAAATAATAGTGTTGAACATTCTTACATTCTACCAAATGTTGTAAGTGCAGCTTACCATTAAGTAAATGTCTCCAGAAGATTTTGGCCACTCTTAAGTGTCTGACCTTTTGTAGACACCCACAAATGTTAGTTTGCCCCAAAGTGTTACAGGTTTACCCTGATGACTTGTATGGTATAGAATATATTACACAGGTGAGGCCCAAAGCTCTATTGAAAGTATGTTTTTTCAACACATATTTATATTAAGTACTTATTTTTGCCCTGTGTTGTTCTCAGAGATACTTATGGTATCTGAGTTTCAATTGTCTTTCCTGGTTTAAATTTCAGATTAGACTTGTGGCAGTTGGTCCCCAATAATGACCTACACATGAACCTCCCACATCCATGTCCCTGAGAAGTCCCTTCCTCTTGAATTGGTACTGCACCATGACTCACTTTGGGCAATTGCATGAATCATAAATGATACTGATTATCTTCTGCAGAAGGTCATAGGAAATCTTGCAGTTGTGACCTGGGTCTCTGGGAATACTCATTCTGAGACAAGACACTGTATATAAGAAGTCCAGCTATCCGAGGAAAGCTACTACATGTAAAAGTCCAGATTGTCATGCTGTATGGACTCCTAAACTAGCCACATGGAGAGGGCTGCCTAGCCAGGCCCCAGTCCTTTCAGCCACCCCATTTGAGGCACCAAACAAGTGAGTAAAGAAGCCATTTTGGACACCCAGCCCAGTCAAGTCTTCAGATGATCCCACTCCAGTCTCCATCTGGATGTAATCAGTCCCCAAGTTGGACCCCACACAGTAGATGAACAGTCAACCCACAGACTATGCTAGGTTTAATGAATAAAAGACGAATAGGACATGGCCCCAGTTACCCTCAGGGAGCCCTGACCCGTGGTGAAGATGCGCACATGAGGCAGTGACCTGATGGGATCCGATACAGGGGAATAATGAGCCTCACAGTAGACTGGTCACTCTGCCAGGGGAGAAGGTGGTTCTACTTATAAAGTAGAGAAGAATTTTCTAAAAAAGGTGATACTGAAGTGCATCTTGAAAAATGCCCGGAAGCATACCTGTGGACATGGTGGTGGAGCGGCAGTGCCACAGAGAGACCCATGTGCAAAGAGACATTATATCCAGGCTGGGGAAGAGCAGGTAATAAAACCAGTGGGAGAAGAAGGACCTGGTCATGACGGCCTCGTACGCCAGGTCATAAAACAGAAATTTGGTCTAGCTGAAAATGGGAAACAAATAAAGAATTTTAGAAGGTGAATTACATGATGAGATTTGTCCTTGATGTGCACTGAGGATTTATCTGTCATTGAGCCAGTAATGGTCTAGAGCAGTGATGTCCAATAGAAATGCAATGTAAGCCACGTATGTAATTTAAATTTTTCCAGTAGCCATATTTAAAACAGGAAAAAGTAACAAGTGGAAATAATCTTAATATAATGTTTTATTTAACCCAATAGTTCTAAAGTATTATCATTTCAGCAGGTAATCAATATAAAATTATTGAAATATTTTACATTATTTGGTTTTAAGTTTGAAATTGGTTTGTATATTATGCGTGTAACACATCTCGACTTGGACTGGCTACATTTCGAAAGGTCCACACACATGTGGCTCGTGGGTATTGTTCCTGGCGCAGTAGCCTTAGATGTAGGGGCCACATTGGAAAATAAGGCAGGGGAGGGCTCTGTTCTCACAGAAGGGCAAAGACTGGGAATAAACCAGTAAACAAGTAAATCAGCAAGATTGTTTCCAATAGTGATAAGCAGTGTGAAAAATATGAAACAAGTGGAATGAAAACATTAAACAATGATGGCGTGTGTCTGGGTAGGCAGCTGGTGGTGGCCAGGAAAGGTCTTGCTTGGAGGAGATGCTTAAGCTGACACCTAAGTGACAAGGTGGTGCCAGGTGTGTAGGGCTCTCAGGGCAGAGCCCTTGGAGATCTGGAGGGCACTTTGGAGGAAGGACAGCCAGAGAAGAGGCTACTGCCATAGTCCAGGCGAGGAACAGCCTTCCTCGGAGCACAGGCTGTAGTGGTGAATGCTGACAGGAGTGGATGAACCAGAGAAGTATTTAGGTGGTAGAATGTACAGACTTTGTATAGGCTGATAAGAAGTGTGGGTGAAGGAATATGGAAGATAATCAGAATTGGGGCTTGGTTGATTAGATGCACAGTGAGATGCTGGTTTCTTTCTTCTCCCAAGGGTGTGAGTAGAAGAATAAGCTATGCATTCACTCTGGGATTTGATGAGTTTGAGATGCCTGTGGGTTATACGAATGGAGATGTTCAATGTTAATAAAGGTTTATAGAATTGTCATAAAATTGTTCTTTCCCCTCTAATCAGTCAGGGAAAAATCCCTGCTTTTCCTCCAAGCCCTTAATGACATCTTAAATAGACTTCATCATTTTTAGTTAATTAAATCTTACTCAAGTAAATGTACTAAAGGCTACTAAATTGTACACTTTAAAATGCTTAAAAATGGTGGATTTTATGTTATGTGAATTATATGTTAAAAAAAAAAAGAAAAATCGGTTGAACTTCCTTTAACTCATCAATCTCACACCTCGTTCAGAGATTTCCCTCCCTCTTCATTGCTGATTATCCTTATGTTTTAAAGGATTTGTTGGCAGAAGACATAAGGCCAGTTCTTTCCATCTTCTTCTTCCTGTTCTGGACCTCTCTCTTTGTGAATTGGAGCAGAAAAGAGGACCAAGGGAAGTAAAGATCATTTCGTGTCTCTGGCCTCGTGTATGGTAGGAAGCTGTCCTTGGCCTCACTCTGATTCTTTGAGCTGCCTGTAGTGTCCACCAATATGGTTCTCTCTCTAAAAAGAGTGAATGTGTTATTTTCAGCCTTGTGTTGGTCCCTCTTGTTATAGAGCACAGTTCAGACCAGGGCCCTGCTGGCATTTATACCTCCAGCTTTCACTCTGTGAAGGGCTCTCTCCCTTGGCAGCCACTGGGCAGCCCTGTGGCTCCTGTCCTTTCTGTGCCCTGT